ACAGTATACACTATACAGATACAGTATCATTATTACTATATTATATTATTATAGGTAGGTAGGTACATTTGCAATTCTTTGCTAAACTTATGGCGAATGCTGTTAATAAAAAAAAAAAAAAAAAAAACTTATGGCGAATGCTGTTAATAAAAAAAAAAAAAAAAAAACCATGAAAAATAATTCGTTATTTATATTACTGATAATTTACTTATTTTTTTTTTAATCTAATAATAGTGTAATTAACTGATAATTCTAATATTGATACAGATGCCATTATTTAGGTTATATAGACAATTAATTTGTTATTTGACATTGACAAGATGATGTGTAATATGTAACTGTAAATTATTGTCTTATTGTTTTATTGCTTATGAAAACCTTTTTATTCAATTATATGAATTGGTTTCGTTTTTGTATRGTTCACATATTTTTTTTATTCTACGCAAAAATTGTTCACTGTTATTTATTATTATACATAAATTAAAATATAGTATTTATATATTTAATATAAAAATTGTTATTTGTTTAGTTATGGAATAACAAACATAATCCTAAAGACGTGGAAGTTGCATTGAAGAATAGTTTGAAGTTACTGGGTTTAGATTACCTAGATTTATACCTTATTCATTGGCCAGTTGCAACTAGTGTGAATAAATTAAATATTACTTTTTTGGGTATAGTTGTTAAATTGAAATTAATTTGTTTATCATTTTTTTAGGATTATCCGATTGCACAAGATAGTGAAGGGCGGTTTATTGGCGCTGACGATTCTTATTTAGACACATGGAAGGCTATGGAACAATGTGTCCAATTAGGACTCACAAAATCAATTGGAATTTCTAATTTTAATATTAAGCAAGTGAAAGAAATTTTAGAAATAGCAACAATAAAACCAGCTGTTAATCAGGTAATAGCTACTGAAACTACTAAACAAATAATAATATTCAAAAATTATCTATAACACAATAATCAAAAAGGTGAATAGTTMAATAAAAATTGGAAAAAAAACTTTTATAAATTAATGATATTTCATTTTCATTTAGTTATACTAATAAATAACTTTAAAATTAGAAATTAAAATTGGTGAAATTTTCACAGTGAAACTTTCATGTTACAAAGTCTTAATGGCAAAAAAAAAAATTTGTATCAAGAATTTTGTTTAATAAAATTAAATGAATTTGGTTTTCAAAAATATTTTGATAAATAGAAATTGTTAATAGAAAATTTTTTATTTGGATGTTTCACTGTGTTTAATAATTATTTTGTTTTAGGTTGAAAATCATCCTTATTTAACCCAAAATAAACTTAAAGAAGTTTGCGAGAGTAATGGAATTATATTAACTGCTTATGGACCTTTAGGATCACCGTACAGAGGTCCAAACTCAAAAGGATTAGTACTTTTAGATGAACCAATTGTAAAACAAATAGCTGACAAATATAAAAAAACAAATGCTCAAATATTAATAAGATTTCAGGTATTTAAAAAAAAATTAGGATTTTTGTATCTTATTTATTATTTTTATTTTTCGAGTAAATTATTAAAAAATTTAATCGTATTTCTCTGTTAGACAGCATGCAATGTTGTTTAAATTCTTTAGTTGTTCCAAACAGTGACTGGTGTATAAACTATTTTATGCCAGCCTCAAGTAATGATTTTAATATACCGATCCTTTTATCAAACTTTCTTGTATTGTTGAATTTAGATTCAAAGAGGTGTTATTGTCATACCTAAATCATCTAATCCAGAAAGACAAAAAGAGAATTTTGATGTGTGGGATTTTGAGATGAGCAAGGAAGAAATGGATTTACTTGAGTCATTAAACCAAAATCAACGATATGTTCTTTTCAAACCGTAAGTTTAAATAATGAATAATATAATTGTGTGATTTATTTTTCAAATTCTTATTTTAATTTAAATAATTTATTGTTTAGAGCTATGCACTTAAAAGACTATCCATTTAACGAGGAACAATGAACTTTAGAGGAACAATGAATATTAGAGATATCTACATTGATAAAAACAGCTACTGATACTGCGATAATTTGAATAAGAAATTATAAAATAAAATAAAATTTGTTTTCTAAAATAATTCTTGGAGACATTTATTATAATTTATAGTAATATTCTGTTAAATTTATCAAAAACTAAAAAGGAGCTTGACAAATAATTTTAGAAATACTAACTTACCATTGGTAATATATTCAACAGGCCCCAAAATTGTATGTACTACAACACATTTTGTGAACCTAGCACAAAAAGTGAAGTGTATACTAACAACACTTGAAAGTTGTATGTAGCAAAATATAATGTGTCACCAATTATAAATTTATTTAAATGATTTTAGAGTACTAGCTTACTAGCTTTACATTGAAAGAGTTTGATTCCTAAGAGAACTTACCCAAGCATTTGTATTAAATGAACTAATAGGAAAATTTAATTTTGAATTCAATAGGTATGCTCAAAAATAAGCTACTATAAATTTTCCATATTTTAGCCTTTTAGGATAAACTCTTGGAAAGAATCAAGTATTTATGAAAGGTACTTATTTTTAGCAGTTTATTTCCTTTGATATACAATCCTTTCGTTGTTCTTGCATATTTTCTTTACGAAATAATTTTTATGTTTCACACCTGTAAAACATTTCCCGATGGCTCACTTTTTTGACATCTTTTAAAAAATATTTATATAGATCATAGAACTTATCTAGTTATCTTTTATTTCTGTTACTTTATGATCTCAACTCTAGGTATGCATGGTGTAACAGGAAGACCTGACAAAAAAAAAAAAAAAATTATAATGCTACTTAAACGAATGAAAAAAATTGTAAAAATTATATGGTTAATAAATAATTTAAGAAATATACTCTTGTCAGAAAACTCTCAAAAATAATATTTCCAAAAAGGTAATTCTTTTCAAACTAATACACTAAAAAAAAATGTATAAAAATAAAATTCTTGACTTGAAATGTTTTTACCRTCAACATTTTTCTTAAAATCTGATTTACAAATTGGCTATCTTATTTTTTCCCATAAAGACTTTAATTCAATTTTAAATTTCTTATTTTCAGTACTTTTTTTTATATTACATACGTGTAGCGTAAGAGAATATATAAATCTRAAAAGATTATTCGATYTTCGTGACTCATGAGCCAAGATAAAATTCTTGTGTGATCCACTCCATAGCAACCTATATGGGTTATTGAAAAACTCTCCGWATCTCAAAATATAGTGCCATTCGGTTCAGTACAGTTACCGGATACTAACAAACGCTGAAACGCACAATCGTTTTCACAAAAATACATTAAACATTTGCAATATAATATATATTTTATTGATTAACTATTTGTATAGGTATATGCAACACGATTGCTTTTAATATTAATTCAGTAACGAATAGTACTTAATTGTATGACGAAAAGTAATTCTAAATGTGAATGCCCACGGATAACGAATGTAGCTAAGAATCTAGGAATATACGTCGTTCGTCGCAACCATAAATAACATATAATGTAGTATAGTGATATAGGTAGAGGTAACTGTATATAACACGAGGGGCCTGCGTCTAGTTAGGATTTCGTGTTCACATCAGCTGTCGGTATACGATCGGGTCCAGCTTGCCGTAAGCCTCCTCGAACGACTCTTTGGTACAGCAGTAGATGAGCCCGTCGTTGGCGTCCGAATCCTGATCGTTCTCGTGGGCCCCGGCGGCKGGCTGATCTTTCCGTGGATCGCTGCCTTGGTAACCGCGACCGTGGTAACCGGCCGGACATATGTTGGGACATATGTACACGCTGTCGTCGATCTCCTTGTACGGGTTGTTGAGACCAATGTACACGATGCCGTCCGCCGCGTCCACGTCGTAGTACAGCTTCCAGTAGAACAGCGGCACTGGTATGCTACCGGGCAGGTCGAGGTACAGTGGTTGTTGGACGCCGTCCACGTCGGCCAGCGTACACACGTCGTACGCCCCGGTGACGAYCACGTGTTTGGACGTGCCGTTCTCGCTGCTCAACTTTGTTCGGGTCGTCTGCTCCAGATCGGCCCACATGTCGCCATTGAAGATCTGCCACTGCGGGGCCACGTTGGCGTAGTAAAACCTATGATAATACAATACATAATATGTGTAAATCACATTTTGTATAATACCTATATTAGGAGTATGTATTGTATAGATAGGTAAAAACTGGGTGTCCTCTTGAATGACCAAAAATTATTTGATTTCAGAAAAAAGTT